ATTTGTTTTTTCATATGAGGCTAGAAATATTTTTTCTCAACCAAAGGAACAGTTTTTTCTTGCCCAAAATGTCCGCCCAATCCCCCACTATGAAGTTCATGCACAAGTTGCTCTCTTAAATAATTTTTTGTTATGCAAAGTCTAGATCCCTTAAACAAAAACCCTTGATGAATAATAAACTAAGCAGAAGGATCAGTTCCAGAAGCAAGATAAGAATCCCAAATACTCTTAAAATAAGGATCATTCACATAAGTATCTTTTAAAAAATCAAAAGAAGTGATAGTTGGGTAAACAGTTACCAACAAATGTTATCTCGTGCTTAAAGCATCAGCTACCTTGTTTAACACACCAGTTTTATGTTTTATGTGAAAAATATACTCTTGAAAGAAAGAAACCCACTTAGCATGCCTTTTGTTCAAATTTTTTTGAGAGGCCAAAAAACGTAATGCTTCATGATCAGTACAAATTCCCGTCGGATCAAATAACATTTCCAGAATTTCAAAGCTTGAACAATAGCATAAAATTCCAAGGCATATGTAGAATATTTGGATCGAGCATCATTCAGTTTTTCACTAAAATAAGCAATAGGTTTTCCCTCTTGACTAAGCACAACACCAATACCAACATGAGAAGCATCAAAATCAACTTTAAAAATGTTTTAAAAAATTAGCAAGCTAAGAATGGGAGCTTGACTCATTTTTTTCTTAATGACTTCAAAAATTTGTTCAGCCTGAGGTGTCTACCTAAATATCCTTTTTTTTTAAACAATCAGTAATAGGAGCAATCAGAGAACTGAAGTTCTTAATAAACATTCGTTAAAAAGAAACAAAGCCATGAAATCCTCTTACCTCACTTATGTTTTTAGGAGTGGGCCAACTTTAAATTGCTTCAATTTTTATCGGATCAACTTTTATCCCCTCAGCAGAAACAATAAAATCCAAAAATGTTAAGCTCGAAGTCATGAAGGAACATTTTTTAAGATTGATATACAACTTTTGTTCCCTTAGAGTTTGCAACAGTTGCCTAACATGATTAAAGTGCTCAGAAGGGCGAATACTATAAATCAAAATTTCGTCGAAATAAAAGCTCTCAAAACATGATTTATAGTTCTCATAAAAGTACTCGGAGCATTTGAAATCCCAAAAGGCATCACAAGCCATTCATACAAACCTTGTTTAGTTTTAAAAGCAATTTTCCATTCATCCCCATGTCTTATTCTAATTTGGTGATACCTGGTTTTCAAATCAATTTTGGAAAAGATTTTAGCACCGCTTAACATATCCAGTATGTCATCCAGTCTAGGAATAGGAAATCAATATTTAATGGTGATTATATTTATTGCCCTACTATCTACACACATTCTCCACGTTACATCTTTTTTTGTAGTTAATAAAGCAGACACAACTCAGAAATTTAAGCTTTTTTTAATCAAACCCTTTTCTAACAAATCAGTCACTTGCTTAAAAATTCAGCATGCTCAGTTGGACTCATCCTGTAATGAGGAAGGTTAGGCAAAGTGATTTCAGATATTAAATCAATATGATGTTGAATATCTCTCATCGGTGGCAACCCTATAGGCAATTCCTCAGGTGATATATTAGAAAATTCATCAATTAAATTATTTGGAATTTGAATAATAGAATCAGTTTCCTTTTCAAAAACCAAGTAAGCTACCTCATAATGTTTCAAATCATTTGTATTCAAAAGCAGTTCAAGAGTGTTAATTTTGACAACCTTGTTATTTTTAGCAGGCAAATCAGACACATGTTTTTGAGGATAGAGAGTGAACTCTTTATTATTTTGAAGCAAAGTATAAGTGTTCTTTTCTCCGTTGTGAATATTTTTGTGATCAAATTGCCAAGGTCGATCCAACAAAATGTGACAGACTTCAAGAGGCACGACATCACAAATAACTTGATCCTTAAAAGAACCCCCAATTGTTAAGTTGACAACACATTGTTTTGTGATTGAAACCTCAACCCCTCCTTAAACCAAGAGATTTTATAAGATTTAGCAAGTGGTTTGAATTTTATCTTAAGCTTGTCAACTATTTTTTGAGAAACAAAGTTTCCATAACTCCCACTATCTATCATAAGAGTAGAAATTTTTCCTTCGACCGTGCAAGTTATCTTAAAAATGTTTCTCCTAAGCCACCTATCCCCGTTGTCAATTTTAGTTGTTAAGAATTGTCGTATTACCAAAAGCTCTTCAACTTCATCTCCCTCAACATCATTTTTTTCTAAATCAATGTCATTTTCAGGTTCAAATTCTATTTCTTCTTCTTCCTCTATTTCTTCATCATTTTCAATGAAATTATTTATTGGTGGCTTATTTTTTCTACAAGTCGCAGAAAAATGACCATAAAGCCCACATTTATAGCATGACCCAATTAATCTAGGTTCTTCAGAAGGTTTAGATCCCATAATACCCTTTCCTTTATCCGCATTTTGATTTTCAAAAGACTTAACTTTCACACCAGATATTCCCACAGAAGTTTGAGATTGATTTTTAACCCCGCTAGTTGGTTGTCGTTTATATGTTTATGTTATCTTGTTGTAACCACCCCTTTCCCTTTGATGTTGCTTTTCAAGTTTTAATGGCATACGATACGCCTCGTCAATTTTAATTACATGATGCAAATTCAGTTGATCTTGGATTGTCCACTTAAGACCGTTGATACCTTGAGACAGTTTTCTCTTCAGACTCATCTAAATCAATTCTTAATTGAAGTTTGTAAAATATTTCATTGTATTCTTCCACAGATTGAGTTCCTTGTCGCAAATTATTAAATTCTTGAAAGAGTGTTCATGCGTGATCAGATGGCAAGAATTTTCCTCTTATTTTTTCCTTCATTCGTTCCCAGTTTTATATTTTCTCTTTCCCATGCCTAAGTCTATTATTTTGTAAGTTTTTCCACTATGTAAGAGCATGACCAGTAAGTTTTAAACTTGCAAATTTTATTTTTCTGTTTTCAGGAATTTCTTTCCAATCAAAGAATTGATCAATTTTTTCTATCCATTCGAGGAATAAATCAGGTTGTAATTTCCCCTCAAAGTTGTGAACATCTATTTTAATCTCAAAATTTCAATTTTGTTGTCGCCTATTTTGATTCCTAGGGACTTCTTCTTCACTTTCAGATGTTTGAACATTATGTTGGTTAACGTTTAGATTAGCAAGAGTGTTAGCCATTTCATTTATCTGATTTTGCAAGTCCGCTAACTGTTGCATCATATTTTGCCAATTCCCCGGATTATTAGCCATCTTAGATTTCAAAAGAAAAAAGACTCACCAACCAAGAATATTCTAACTCGCTCTGATACCAAACCTGATGTAAGCAAACTAGAAAAAAAGCCAAATTGGAGAACACAAGGACAATAAGATCAAACTCGATTCACTTTAACTTGCAAACATCCAAACAAACATCCGAATAAACGAAAAGTTAAATCAAACGAAACAAAATTATAACATAAAAATGCTATCCTCAGAACAACTGTCAAGTGGTTTCCTCACATGCAACGAGAGTAGGAAAGTATATGAAAATAATGCTTAGGCTTGCAAACCGAGGGTCAACCGCTGCAAAAGGGTCCAACGTCCTACCAAACTCCTTCGGCAAATGTCTCCAAAATAAGCCAACAAACAACTTTCAAATGCTCTAGAAGAAGGATACAGGTGGAGTGGAACTTGCGTAAAGAAGAAGGGATTAGAAACCAATACGAAATAGAGAGGAGGAAAGGGGGTAGAACAAGCTCTCAAGTTTTTACAAGAGAAGAAACTCTCATGTTTTTAGTAGAGACTTTTCTCAAATTTTCAACAACCTCCTTCATTCCAAAACATATCCAATTTATAAGCAAAAGAAAAAAGCGAAACAGCCATACCAGCTCCAACCAAAATCAATAAGGTTTGGGGAAATGAAAGGCCAAAGGCCACCACAAACAGCCATCAAATTCTGCACAGAAAACAAGAAGGAAGGCCACGGGAAACACAGCCAGTGAGCCATGGGAAAGAAATGAGAGAGGGACTCGAGGAGACAAGCCAGGAAACGAGACAAAGGAAGATAGGAAAAACAGCCAGGGAGAAAAACGAAAAAGCAACCAGCCCACAGCCTTTATTCACAAGGAAGAAACCAAGGAGACACAAGAATGGAAAGAAACAAGCTCCACTCCACATACTTTTATGAATTTATGAGCTAGGAAGTGCAATTACTCCTCCAAACAATGAGCTAAACTTCAGCTCAAGCATTAATGAGCTAGCACCAAGTAGAATCCAACTTTTTTATCTCAAAACCAAGCAACAAAAGCCTAACTCGAGAATAGCCAAGGCCCAAACCGAAATACAGCAAACAGCCCAAATGACAAAAAGGACCCAAATGCAAGCAAATCCTAGACTTTCCATGCCCAAGAACCTCTTACCATGATCATCGGATGCTTTCCATCATTGGATAATTTAAAAAAATACAAAACCCAACTAAATATTGTTCAAATTATATCAAAACAAAATAAAGTAAAAGCATGAATGCATCAGTATCACTGCTCACAATCCCGACCACTTCACTGATATAAAATTATTAAAGTCCATTTAATGAGTTAAAAAATCCAACAAATAACAAAAACTCTATCACTATTTTCAATGCAAGACAAAAAAATCAACATGTATGTTTTAGTTCTATTCAATGTTAATCATTACATAATATGAGCATTCAAATTTTCAAAATTCATTAATAAAATTAATATATTCAATGAAGTCAAAAGAGATATATCAAACTATATGACATACGGTAAAGCGTATTATCATCCAATGAATTATGTTAGTTTGCTATGCTATATTGCTATGTTGTATCAATATTGTGGCTAGTACGATTTCATTTATACTATCAATCAATTCAATATACAGGTTGTGTTATGTTTTTTTGGTTGTAGATCATTCTCTTTTATAGATAACTTTCTTGATCCATTTGCATAACCTTTCATGCATATAGCACTTATGTTTTTGGTTTTAAGCAGAACTAAGGAAATCAACATCACAGCGTGCACAATATGAATTCTTAAGAGGAAAAATACTGGATGTATTTCCTTATTATCAAAAAGAAGCGGAAGATCATTTGTCAAAAGCAGTATGCACTAGTTCAATCTTTATTCTGGTAACATTTTCTGAATTATGAGCTTTATCTGCGGTGCATTTGACCTTGCAGGTTAAACTGAATCCATCTCTTGCAGATGCATGGCTATGCTTAGGTAATTGCATCTGGAAGAAGGGAGATCTACCCTCTTCAAAGAACTGCTTTTCTTTAGCACTAAGCAAGGTTTTTTACCCTTGTCTACGTGGATCATGTTGTTACACCCACCTTTAATTTCCCTAGTAAATACCTAATTGAACTTTATTATGCTTATATTCCTTACAGGGCCCAAACAAGAAAATACTTTGCCAGCTGTCAATGCTTGAGAGAAGCATGGCTCAAGGCAAGATTAATCTTTAATCCTTAGATCTATTTTGGTTTAGAAGCAAAATAACCATGCATTTCTGTTGTGTTCAATGATTTAATTTTCACAAACCTATGAGTTCAACTTGCTAAATGCTATTTCAGTGGTTTCTAATGAAACCTTTTTTGTTTCTTTGTACTTATACTGGTTTGTCAGTCAGTGGCCACTTTCTATTACTCACATCTCTTAGTATTGATGTTTTAATTATGAATTCTATTTCTGTTTTTATCTCACTTCTCTTGTTAGTTGTAAGAAAAGTACACATCAACTTGAAAAATCAACACAACAGTGCTATTTGATTTTGGTGTTTATTGGCATGAAGAAGAATTCCCTTATTAGTTGGGTTAGGTTTGAAATTTCTTAAATGACCTGAAACTAGGGATGTCAATTTTTGACATGACCCGAAACACGGCCCGAACCCGACCCGGAAAAATCCGGGTTCGGGTCAACCCGAACCCGAAACGGGTCGGGTTCAGGTTGAACAAATCAACCTGTTTTAAAAATCGGGTCGGGTTGACCCAGCAACCCGAAATTGACCCGAAAGTGACACGAAAACTCATATTTGACCCGAAAACACGAGATTGACCCTTTTTTTACCCGATTTTGACCCGAAAATTAACAATTTTAGGTCAACTTTGGTCAACTTCGGGTCATTCGTGTTGGGTCGGGTTGACCCGGACCCGAATCGGGTCGAGTTCGGGTCCAGAAACCTGACCCGTTTTTAAAAATGGGTCGGGTTCGGGTTGACCCGAACAGTGCCGGGTCAGTTCCGGGTTCGACCCGAACCCGACTCGCTGACCCGAATTGACACCCCTACCCGAAACCAACCTAAAATTTTCACTTCTCTTACAGGCTTACTCAAACTTGATTTGAACCTTGAACGGAATGACTCAAACATCAAATTTTCATGTTGGATTTTATTTGGATTATTGCGAGTGGTTGAGCCTTGAAACCCTTACTAAAACTTCATTTTGTTAGATTTGGCAACACAAGTGCCAAAGATATTGTAGCACTCTTAATATAACTTAATTCAAAATTTCTTACTTGTCTTCTTATTTTTTTTTTCTTCCTTTCCTCTTATTCTTCTTTTGCTTCCGTTTTTTTCATTCAGCTGCTAAACTATCCACTGACAGCCTTTCTTCCCTTTTCTGCTAGATATTTGACGTTTGCCACTAACTCCTATAGGTTTCGGTTAGGGTGAAATTGACAAGGGAATGGGTAGGTTAGTGTGCGTGTGTGTATGTATATATGTCTATTACTTAATTAAATACCCCCTTCAAGTCCACCACCATCCCAAACCGCTTGAGCCAGCTTCTAGAAGAGTCTGTAAAAGGTTGCTCCTACAATAGATTAATCTATTGCTGCTGTAATTGCCAATACTATTTTATAAAAGCTTTGGGGGATTGATTAAATTTCTAATCTAATATAAGTGCAATATTTGTATATACATTATTATATCAAAATAATTTAAATGAAATATAGAATTTAATAAGAATGATTTTGACTAATTTCAGGATGCGTGAAAAGTGAGGTGTTATTTTTGTAAAAAAATTTCTCACCTTTTTGAAAAATTGGGTGTTATAGGTTGGAGCTGAAAGAAAGAAGCAAATGGAGGAGGCAGATGATGTTTGAGTGCAACAGGAAGAGGGAAGAGGGTAGCGGAAGATCAATAGTTTCAAGGACTAGTGGAGTTACTTTGAGTGGTCAGGTTTTGGGAGAAACAGGCCTTGCATGATTTGACGAAGAGAGTAACTAGAGGGTTGAGCACATGGGGTTGAGAGAATGATTGAGGGAGAGAGGTATCCCGAATGAATTCCAGAGATTGATAGCGAATGTGTAGTGGGTCTTGAGAGGCAAGGGAAGGTTAAAGAGACATTGTGAGTGTGTGAAGGACGAAAAATTATTAGGTATCCCGAATGAATTCCAGAGATTATTAGGGCTCCAAAACCAAGTTTTTCCTTCTCTTCCTTCTCTTTCTCTCTCATGATTTCTCTTTCTCTCTCTTCAAATGAATCCAAAATATCCCTATCGGATATTTATTAACACTGATCGTCCCGGACGATCCAAAATTCGTCCCGGGACGATTTGCCCTCGGGCAAAATTTCGTCTAGACGAAATTAAATAACGTCCGGACGACTTGCTCTCTGGACAAATTTCGTCCAGACGGATCGTCCCGACCCTTCCAGATTCGTACAGACGAAATTGACAGATTCTTCACAATTTTCTTCAGTTCGTCCCGTACTAAAGCCAGTTCGTACAGACTAACTGCACTCAAAAAATCAGCTTTGGAGGGGGTTTTACATGCACTGTCATCATTGAAGGTGTCTTTTTTAAGTTTTTGTCATAACATATTGGTCTCTCCCCTGCCTTATCATATGGAGTCCAATGCCTCCTAGTCCGCTTCTTCTTCATTTATTTTAGTCTATTCCCCTTTCATAAATATTTATCATCGACATAAAGATGAGAGTTATACTCTAAAATTTTTGGAGGAGGAGGTGGTCTATGCAACTTCCAATTGATCCCAATAGCGTCTACGATGGTGGTGGTTGCGGAGAAGGCCATGTTATGCCCCAGTTATCAATAGTGAAAGGATTCATCTATCATTTCTTTTTTGGTCATGCCTAACTTTTTATTTATTATGGCTTACTGATTATTTCCTATTAAAGTATGAATTGTTGTGATACACTGTATAGCATTATAATTATACTTTGTAATTAAGGAAATTTTTGTCTCTATCTCGCTTAAGTTTTATTAGATGTTATTGGATCATTGCAGGATGGTACGTTCGCTTTCCTGATGATAGAACGACAAAATAGAGGAATGGATAAAGGGTGATTAAAATGAGCTTTGGTCTAACACATGCGTAGGAGGTTGGATCTTTAAAATAGTGCCAACTTAAGTTTACTTTTGCATACAATGAGTGGTTTCAACGAGAGTTCATTCTAACAATAAGATTAGTTTATGAAGGGCTCCTCACCAATCTATCTCACAACTTGGTTTGAGCCGGAGGGCGATAATTGACACGCTTGTGTGGAATCAAATTATATAACCGACAGTTAGAGTAACTCAGAAGATAGAGTGAGTGAAAGAGTTTACCAAAAAAAAAATAGACACCCATAAGGTAAAGATGGAAAATACAAATCAATTAGTCAGAATAAACTAGTAGCAAACATATAATAAATACTAAAAAAAAATCGTAGCCATGATCTCCGATGTCCTCATTCGATACAGTACGAATGCCTTAATCAATAATTCGAATAAGAGCATAACATCAAGATTGTATGAAGCATCAAATAATCCATAAATCATGAGCAACAGTAGGGAACAAATCCAAGTGGTCACCGTCAAGTTTGTGACTTCACAATAGAATCATAGACTCATACATTCAATTATATGTCAGCTATTTAAAGTTCCTTATTTTTTAAGATTTAAAGTTTAATGTAAATTTTAGCTGGTTAATCTAGATCTAAACTGGCTAATATATAAACTAACATATCTATTTAAAATATTTTAAAGAAAATAAATAATGTCCCTTTGATTTGACTTAATGTGTGGTGTGTCCTATTGTTTTTTAATCTTGTGTGCGTATTAATATATATGATTCTTAGTGTGATATTGACATATGTGTGATACACTAATTACTGATAGATTAATACCTTCGAATGTCGAAAAGTTCCAAGTATTAAGATTCCTTCTTCGGTGAATTTTAAGCAATCTTTTCTTATGTTCTGTTGCACTCGGTCTATTGCTCATTTGATAATTTCTCAAATTCCTCCATCAGAAGTGAGGCATACTAATTTGTGAAGATTAAATTACAATGTACCTGCTTGTTTTTTTTTACTGGGTTCCCAATTGCACATTTATCTTCATCGTTATCGGTACTAATTTCATTATTTTATTTTCTTCATTTTGAAATAAAGTAAATGTAGGTCACATTTATGTTGGGTTTGTGTAATCTGATGGATCTATAAATTCAATTGTTTAGGAGGACTGTCGCATATGAGAGTCGACATCTCAGTAATGTTTTTGGTGAAAACTACCTTGATGAGATGTGAGTACCTGGAGCCTTTTATTTTATTGTTAGCGCGCTTCAATCATATTTCTATATTTTTTTAAAGAACTTATCTATTACTAAAATAAAGAGCCAAGTTCATCACGCTTCAATGAGTTATAGTCAGCACTTTCCTCTCTCATTTGGCTCTTACGACCTCAGGCTGCTATATCCACTATAGCCTAGGTAGATCATACATTAGCCGTGAAATCTCGCCTATTTCTGGTTTCCTACTCTGAATTGGATTTTCCCCCAGGATCGGTTTCTCGGGTACGATATTGAAGATCTTGTTCCAGGCCATCAGTGCAATTGGAAATGGCGATTTACGCTGGAGGTTTTCTGGATGATTTTCTGGACTGATCGTCCCAGGCCGTTTGGGATTCTCTGGACGATCAGAATACTGAGGCAAGAATCCTGCGAGAGCAAATTCAAATTATGGGTCCTGTAGATAATATCGTTCCCGGTCTTGTTCATGGGCTGTGGGTTGTATTGTGTGCCTCATTTTTTGTTGTCTGATCCGGCAGGACGATGTGGCCGATCGGCCGGCGATCAGACTAATGTTATAAGGAAAATCACTCGATTCCGAGGAGAGGAAATCATTTTATAAAAAATATCTAATTTTGGAAGAGAGGAAGAGAAAGGAAAAGTAAAGGAAAAGCTTGGTTTTTCGGAGGCCGCGGAGCGTTTTTCGTCGAGACTGCCGGCTGTGAAGAAAAAGGGTAGATCTCGTGGTAAGGACTCCGAATCCTATTTCTGTTTCAGAAATATTGATTTTGACCGAGTTGTGCACTGTTGTGTTTTCGGTGTCGAATTTGGACCGGTTTGTATGACACATTACTTTCCAACGCCAAACTTTTGAATGTTATAGAATGAATATTGTATTCCGTTTGAGTATTTCTACATGATTTTACCGGTCGGAATGTTCTACGCGATTTAATCTAATAG